GTAACCCTTGATATTCTGAAATGTATTATGCAATAAATGATAGTTTTAGTATTTACAATATTAGTAAAAGTTTAACATTTCTCCTTAAATTAAATTGAAGACATCTGAAGACAAAGCTGATATCTCAGTGAGACATATAAGAGAATCACCCCTTAGTATCCTGAGCTTAGAGTAAGCTCTGTCAGAGCCATAGCTCTGACAGCAAAAAAAGAATGTCCAATGAAACATTTTTAATTAATAGAGTCTTGAAAGAGATTACAGCAAGACAACGAGATCTCCCATGTTTCTCATTGTCATTTTGAACTCTTTTCTCTCAGAACTTTCTCATGTCTCAGTTGTGTTGACTTTAATTTCTCCTAAGGAATTTTATGAGAAATACATGAGAATCACTACTAAGTCTCCTGAGTTTAGAAAGAGCAACCACTGAGCAATATATTCCCATAATAGAGTCTTGATAGAGATTGCAGCAAGATATTGATGTTTCTTCCGCCACATTCTCAGTTTTGACTCTTTTTTTTTTTTCTCAAATATTTCTCATGTCTCCCCTTAAAGAAAAACCACATGTTTTCCACATTAAATTTCACATGTGCAGAATCACGTGTATGTGACCACATGTGTTTTTGCACATGTGAAATTCATGTGGTTTTTCTGTAAGGATCATTTGTGTCTACTATTTCTCCTAAGGAATTTTAGGAGAAACATTTGAAACACTGTTGATACTAAAATGAGAGATGTGAGAATTTAAGGAAGAGCAACCCCTGAGCAATACATTTTTTCCTCTTGGTCTTCGAATCTCAAAAATGTTGACATTCAGATGAAATGGCAAAATTAAAAATAGCCATAGACATTCATCAAAAGTGCTGAGATGAGATATTGTGCCCCGTCTTACAACAAGTTTTTTTTTTCAAGTTCAAGGTTGGTATATTAAGATTTCTTGATGCGTTACGTAGCATAATAAACCTAATAATATTAATTCAAAGTAAATTATTTTTTAAAAAGTCATCACTTTCAGTGGAGCTAAAGGGGCACGAGGGTAAAAGATTTGACTTTATTCTCCTTCAACCACATTCAAATTCACCTCGGCACTTTTCTTAACAACCGAGTTTGACTATGCATCTAGAAATTTGGCTGCTACTTGATGCAATCGCGGACTGCAAGGCACTTTTTGTTTTTAATATTGTAGATTTATGTAGCAAATGAAGAATCAATCAAATTGTTAGCTAATTAAAGGGGTCATATGATGCGATTTCAAGTTTTCCTTTCTCTTTGGAGTGTTACAAGCTGATTGTGCATAGATAAGATCCCTGAAGTTGCAAAGACTAAAGTCTCAAAACCAAAGAGATATTCTTTATCAAAGTTAAGACTCTGCCACGCCCCCCTAAAATGGCTCGTTTAAACACGCCCCCACATATCTACCTCACATTTATTTAAATATAACGGAAGAATATGTATTTGGGGTTAAAAAAAAATCTTGTGTAATATAACTTGTGTTTGTTTGCTGGTTTTTATTGTATTTGTTATACTTGTATTTTTTTTGCCATGAAAATAGCCTAAGATGCTGGCATTAAATAGGTTACACTACTACTACTACTACTACTACTATACATTTGGGGTAAAAAGTGCCCCTGCTGTTGGGGCTAAAGACTAGCGTTGCAAAAAGTTGGAAAATTTCCAGTACATTTCGGAAATATTCCAGAAATTTTGGAAAGTTTCCAGGATTTTTTTTTGGAATATTCCAGGGATTTTTGGAAAGTTTACGGACATTTTCCACCCCTTTGCAACCCTACTAAAGACACAATAATTAACATGATTTGAAATAGCTGGCAGACTTTTCAATTTGCTGACAGGGTTAGTTTCAGATGGTAAATATCATACTGTTTATTAAGCTGGACCTTATTGGAAATAATTACCATATTTATAATGAAACATGTTTAATATCATATAATAAAATAAACGGAAAGTAGTTCAAACTTTGCTAAAGTGATTGTTTTAAGAGTATTCAATTGTTAAAGTGTTTGTATAACTAATACTAATATTGCGTTAGACTAACTGAAACTTGTTGTAGCACTTGCATATTATTGCTCTTTTGTTGATTTTGATTGCTTCCATTGTCCTCATTTGTAAGTCGCTTTGGATAAAAGCATCTGCTAAATGACTGAATGTAAAAGTATGTAAATGTATAAATATGTTGTGCCTTTTGCCCCATGCCTGTGAGCTACTCTGTGTGGTAAAAGTGCCACCTCATACAGTTATGAGACTTTTAAACAAAACAAACCACTTTTATGATTTGCTTTCACACAAAATATGTGCTCAATCAATGTACAATAAAAACATACATACATATTTTTCTTCAGTTGTGCCTTTAACCCGTGGTGCATGTAGGCTACTGTTGTATAGGCTCTTTTTGTTTTTTGGAGCTGCCCCCTAACCCCGCCTCCAGACTAAAGCCCGCTGAGCTCCTCTGATGGGACTGTCAGTTCAGAGAGGGCTGAGAAGATGAGGATGCAGTGGCTCAATGCATTACTTTTCATCTGGATTCACTGTCATATGTGCAGGACAGAGTTTGAGCTGACTTTACTCCACACTAACGATGTTCACGCACGGGTGGAGGAGACCAACAAGGACTCGGGCAAATGCACGAAACCGCCTTGTTTCGCTGGAGTCGCGCGGAGGTTTGCGAAAATCAAACAAGTTCGTAGCAAGGAGAAAAATGTTCTCCTGCTGGACGCGGGCGATCAGTTTCAGGGGACCGTCTGGTTTAACTTCTACAAAGGCGCAGAAGCGGCGCATTTCATGAATAAACTCGGATATGATGCGATGGTAAGCATTATGTCCGTTCATTATGGGGTTCACGGAAGACTGAGATAAATGTAAGATGTTTAAAGAACTGATTTGCATCGAACAGCTTTGGATTTCTTACAGGGGCCGTTAACGTTAGTTTGGCGTTTGACATTCATTAGACATTCGTTTTTTTTGCCAATTAAAACTGCGGAGTTTGAGCGCCAACTAACTCAGATAGACATAAATATATCCCCTTTTTGTATTGCTATTACACAAAGTTCCGTTTTTGGAATTACCATTTGATGTGTTTTATAATAATTTTACAACTTTTAATGTATGCAATAATATAAATCCATTAAAGGACAACACCATTTGATCTAAAGGTATCAAACCAACTGTAACATATTCAGAATATTATTCCCTATAATGCACAAGGCTTGTTTTTCCAGATTATGCCTTTATTGTTTTTATATACAGTACTGAATCCATATTTTTCATTTGTTTTATATTCTGTACCCACTTAAATCAATTAAACTCAGACACCATTTGAGATAAAGGTATCAAACCAACTGTAAACTACTCAGAATATTATTGTATATAGAATATTATATTCAGAAACTTGAACACCATTTAAGCTAAAGATATCACACCAACTGTATATTTTTCAGCTAATTAATCTGATGTTTTTTATATAGAGTACTGAACTTTTAATTTTTTTAGACTGTCCTGGAACCCATTCATATATTTTCCACAACGTGGATAATAAAGTAGCCTACAGTAAAGTAAAGTATAAACACATGCACCCTTGTACACAGAGCAATGTAAAAAGTTCACAATTGAGCGTGCCCACACCCAAAGCAACTGGATGCGATTAAATGATTAATGCAAATGAGTCGTCGTGTAGCTACTTCTGAGAAGCGGGAAAAAAAGATTTCTCATAGTTGAATTTTTTTGGGGGGTGTTCAAGTGTTATTCTAGGAAAGTCACTAAAAGCTGCAGGTCATGGTGCCAAAAACAGCTTCTGTGTTGAATTAGTGTTTTGCACACATTGAACAGATTATGGCTTTAAGGTGTACAGACATAAAATGAAACTCTTTACAACATCTAGCTATTTTAGCTGCTAGAAAGAGTGTGTAACAAATCCTTCCTGAAAGTTGCTCATCACAGTGACTCATGGGATTTCTTTGAAGTGTTGACAGGTTTTCCATCATTATAGGCGCCAAAGGGATGTATTCCTCATTTTATCATTGACGTACTGTAGAGCAGAAGTGGACAGAGTGTACTGGACAGGTTTCCATGAGCCACTGGAGTCTTCATTACAGTGGGCAGAGCACCTGTTCAGGTGTAGTGGGACTCAAACTTGTGGAACATAAACAGAATAGGTGTCTCCCAAATGCAGATTCCCAAATCACCCACTGTCAAAGAAAATTTAGAAATGGTTGGGTGAATTCTTCTATTCTCCATTTGAAGTGCTACAAAAGAGCCAGAAATAGAAAACGTTTTGGACTTAAATTGTTGATAGAATATAATTATTAAACTATATATGTTGTTTATATTTAAATACATGTATTTTCCTTTTTAATTGTTACACTGTAAAGAATTGTGTTTTTATGGTTGGTGACATTGGACTCGGCACCTTACGGAAAACTATTTGATGTGCATGTGTTCCTTCAGAACATGTTCAGCACTGCTTCAACATGCCGTTATTAAACATTTCAAACGTAATTATAACCAATTACTGGTGCATGCATGCAAATTGTACAAAAATGCTAATACAAACCAGTGCCTTTAAACTGATTTTGTGTTCATGACATAATATATGTCATTTTTTTACTGTATAAAACATTGTTTGTGTGTTTCTTTAGGCCTTAGGAAATCATGAATTTGACAATGGAGTGGATGGCCTCCTAAAACCTTTCCTTCAGGAAGTGAACTGTACTGTTCTTAGCGCAAATATTAAAGCCGATCAAACGATTGCTCCTCAGATCAGCGGATACTATCTCCCATATAAGATCTTCACTGTTAACTCAGAGAAAGTAGGTGTTGTTGGTTACACGTCAGTGGAGACCCCTGCTTTGTCTCTACCAGGTAAGATACTTTATTACTTTCATAATAACCAGGCCAGGTTTACACATAATGTTGCAAATCACACTCTTAACAACTTCTTATATTATCGTGCTTTAAGAAGGAGAAAGGCATGTTTTCACAAACCAGCATGTAGACTGTTTGCTATTAAGTATATAGGTGAAATGTGTCATTTTAAATGGCTTACTAATTAGTTGTCTCTTCGTGTTAAAGTGGGCTATTTTATTTTATTTTTTTCAAATTTAATATTGTAACGGTCTTTGCACACCATGTTTTCATGTGTTTTTTTCGCATTTGTCGTCGTCACGCACAGAAACCTTCCACACTGAGTCAAAATGCTTGCTACAGATGCGAAAAATGCAGAAAATTGAACTCGATCCAAATTTTTTTATGACGGACGAAAATTTCAGACTCGGTGCGCAAAGACCTTAAAGCTGATTGCAGAGCTTGTGCAATCATCCACATGGCTATGATCAGATGCTTTCTTAACTGCTGTTGTTTCACCGCTTTCATTTTTGTTGTATGCTTATTTTGTTATTGAGAGGAAAGCGCACCGCACATATTTACATATTCACCCAAACGCCGCTACTTCAGTGTGAGCGTTGAGATGTTTGCTAACAGTATAACACTGCAAAGGTACTTTAATCTTTCTTCGTCCAAACTGAAGAAAATAAATTTGCCTTGAGTATAGCAGGTCACTAGGTGTCTGTGAGTTTTAGATGTAGCAAGTTTGTCCTTTGTAAAGGTAACGATGGAAGTCTGAAGGACCGCACAGACAGTCACTCTTTGAGATACGACAGTCATTTGGCACAGATGGCAATGTAGTCGACTGACAGCGACATATGTGACCTGTGATGGCAAAATGAGCACATTTTCAAAAATGAGTTATTTTTATTTTCACATTCTCCATTAAAAGACCTACAAAAGTATATATGATTTGTTGGAATCACCTAGCAACATTGCATCTTTTTCTCCAGTTTTTTTTTCTTAATAATAATTACTGCATTAATAATTAAATTATAGCAATTTTTTATTTTATCTTTTTTTATCATAAATAAGAACAGATGCAATAAAACGGTATACAAATATGTGACACTGGACCACAAAACCAGTCTTAAGTGTCAATTTTTTGAAAATGAGATTTATACATCATCTGAAAGCTGAATAAATAAGCTTTCCATTGATGTATGGTTTGTTAGGATTATTACAATATTTGGCCGAGATACAACTATTCTTCTATTAACTATTAACGAATAACTATTCTACAACTAAGTTCTTAGCAATGCATATTACTAATCAAAAATGAAGTTTTTATATATTTACAGTAGGAAATTTACTAAATATCTTCATGGAACATGATCTTTACTTAATATCCTAATGATTTTTGGCATAAAGGAAAAATCTATAATTTTGACCCATACAATGCATTTTTGGCTATTGCTACAAATATACCCCAGCAACTTAATACTGGTTTTGTGCTCCAGGGTCACATATAAGAAACAAATAATGCACTACCTTTTTCATTTTTACATCTAAACATAAGAAAAACAAATAATCAAATGTAAAAATGGTTGATGCGTGCGCGGGTGCGCTCTTCCGGGAGAAGTGCCCATATAAGGAGTTCCACCCTTAATGACGTCATGAAGAGCCAGGCTCAAAAAAAAAACTTTCCGAAACTTATACGAACCTGTAAGGAGTATATTTGGTACAGAAACTACATCCAAATCGTTTTTATTAATTTTTTTACTTTGTTAAAGAGTTGGATTCTTATGCTAAACATGGCCAGTGTAATTAACTCAACATGAGACAGACGGCCTATATATTAAGACCTACTGTAATACACGGATCTAATATAATGTTACACATCCAATGTTTTTCGCCAACAGTTCCCCAAACGTTCATTCAAGACATAACAGATTATGTTTGTGTGAATAGTACTTAAATACTGTAATTCTGTGTATACGTGTATATTTATCGGGATTGCGCGCTGTCAAAAGAGTCTTTATGCAGGCGCTTCGGATGAAAGTCACTGTGAGAAACAAGCGAAGAAAAGGTTCTTCTCTCAGAAAACATACAAATTAAGATTATTTTGGATGTTTAATTACTATTTGGAGCGTTGGCATCACTAGACAAGGGCTTAATGAACTCATTTTTGTGAAAACCTCAAATTCAACTACATTTTTCACTTCTTTTGCGTGTAGCTCAAAATTAGCCTGTGCGCATTCACACTCATTTTGCCAGCACGGGTCACAAATAGTGGATGAAGCAGAACATCCAACTAGGCCGAGGCTGGATCTACAAGGCCCTGGTGCCTTCAGGATAGGAATCTAAAGGGAAACAAAAGTATTAATGGTTACACTTTATTGTGATAGACATTCTACTAACTGTAAGTAAGTTTGCAACTACATGTCAACTAACCCTCATTACATTAGGGCTAGGGTTAGTAGAGTAAGTTGACATGCACTTGCAAAGTTACTTAAAGTCAGTAGAATGTCTGTTGGGGACCATCTAAATATAAATTAAGCAGATAGTCTGCGAATACTCAAGTGACTGGTAGTTGTCATGTAGTTGCAAAGTTACTTGTTTCAAGTGGACTATCAAAATAAAGTGTTACCAGACTAACATTAGTGTAGATGCCATTCTTTATTCAATTTAATGATAAAGTGATAAAATATAATGTTTTCAGACCTGACTAGTTGCTGCACAACTAAGAGTTGAGTATAGGAATAAATGTATTTTCGGTTAAACAAATGAGTCTTCACCTTTTTTTGTATAGAGCTTTTTATTGAACATTATAGCTTCACGGTGAACAGGAAAACAGCAGAATCAATGATGGAAACTCAACTATGGAGACAGGTCAGATTCTGCTGTAAAGTAGCTCTGAACGAAAACAGTGTCATTGTTCAGATCAAGTCAGATTAGTCTTGATTCAGTTGAAATCAATAACTGTGAATCTCATCAAATTCAGCTCAGCTTTAAGCAGTTCTACAAAGGGCAGCGATGTTGTTATTCATTTTAAAGTTTAAGTTTAGACTTAAATGGTCCTGAAATCCCCTATTTCCACACAGTTTAGATATCACCACATTTCTTTTGAAAAACATGAGAACAACTAGGTGTGGTATACTTGAGGTTTAGTGGAGGGGTGAAAAACAACAGGAGTGACAACACAACAATGGTTTCTAACTCAGTTTTATTTCACTTTCGTTGAGTTCAAAGCATCAAAGCTTCCCCCAAGTGCATGCTGCGGTTCACTTTTGCACGCGACAAAAGGAACAAATATACACTTTAAGCTCAAAGTGCATCACGCAATTACACACATATGCTGTGATCTCTATTCACAAATAAATACATACACACACATTTTTCCGATGTTTATTCAGAAATATAAACTGTTTGATTAGTTCTAGGTACTCGAGGAGTTCTGAAGACAGTTTGAATGTATTGCGTTTGTGTCGAAGGCTCTGTCTCTATAAAAGAGAATTTCAGCCAAGCTGACATGAATTCATTACATACATTAATGGAGGCTAACATTTTCTTGCACAACACAAACATTTCTATTAACATTTCAGAAGATGTAGTTTAGTGTTTCATAATCCTTTAAACTGAGAAAGTGACACAAGTTCCAATAGTTTGGTTCCGGTTCAAGGCTTTGTAAGCAGAATCCTAAAATTGATAAGCAACCTGAGAAGTAGCAGAATGAACTATCTTCCAGCAGTTATTAGTAGGGCTGCAATGGTACACAAAATTCACACTTTTTTCTCTTATGCTTCAAGTTTTATGCAGTTTTCTGTTATAAATGGACAATTTGAGCACATCCAGAAAAAAAGTGGTCACTACATTAACAACTATTGTTCAGTATATATATATATATTTTACAGATTTTCTGTAAATGCAATTCAATCATGACAACTCTCGGAAGATTTTAGCATGGTGATGGATATGACAATGTTAATGTATTTGGTCTTGGCAGAATTGCTGCTGCTGTTGGTCATTGCTGTAGTTGTAGATTATTGCTGCTGCTGCAAGCAAGTACAGGAACTTGCTACTGCCAATGCATACGGCGATACGGTGCTGTGAGTATTTAAGACATACTGCTGCTGCACAAATAGCATATAAAATAACCCCGTAGTAGATCTATACAGGTGGAGCTGCGGAAGATGGATGGTTTCAGAGAAACTCTGAAAGTGCGCTGCAGGAATCTCTAGTGAATGCTAGCCAGCCATATAAATGCAAGGCAGTAAGCTCATTGGCTGCATATGCAGCATGAACCAATCAGCTGTGCCAAGTCGTTTAACTCTGATTATCATCGGTTACGTTAACAACCCGTTGCATGCGCCATCTAGAGTTTCATGACTGAACTATATATTTGTCTGCTCTTTCCTATTCTCAAATCATACACGTCACATCAAATAGGCTCCTCTAAGATGCTAAGCTGCCTTATAGCATCCACATAGAAAATACACTGACATACATACGAAATCTTGTTTTTGCAGAACAGAATGGACATACTGTTCTTTAATGAAACACCCTTCATTTGATATTCTTTTCTTTTGTATCCAAAGCTGTCACCAATAATTCAGTCTCTTCCTCTTGACTCTGGGCCTCATTTATAAAATGTTGTGCAGAAACCATCCTAAATTTGATTTTACGATCATCTCTCAAATATGCGTACGTGTGATTCATAGAACGCATGTACGCGTCTCTTTCAGATGTGAAATCTATGAAACGAAACTTGCGCACAACTGAATGGTTTCAGCTCTCTGCCTTGTAAACAACTCCTAATTACAGTTTTTTTTCAATTGCTAACATCCTTTTGTCCAGTCTCTAGTCACATTTTCAAAACTCTAAACACAATTAGCACAACATCCATCTGTTGTGACCATACCATTAACAAAATTCGTGTTTTCGCACAATATGCAGTCAATTACCATGTTTATAAAATGCTTACATTTTTTACCTTTTCACACAAGCTTACCCAAAACCAAAATCATGGATCTTTTTAGTCTTATTTTGCTTAAACACAGCATGTCAGAAATGAAGACCTAATGTTCCAAACCTTGAATATAGTATAAAGCTTCTACTTCTGCAACAGCAGCTCAAAAGTATTGAAAAAAAGCTCTCTATATAGAATATTGTAACAACTGAAGGTTTCAATTGAATTTCTGCATAGAGGACCCTATTTTTTCTATTGTATATTCTATAAAGTAATGACTCATTCAGTTTTAGATAGCATGTTGCCAAGAATGAACACATTCAGCACTGAAAAATCTAAAATGGGTTTCAGTTGAAGGTAAACTGAAGGCTAAATTACAAAACAAACTATGGCTTTTTATATTGTCTATTATATGCAGGTAGAACTGAAACATGACAAGTAATGCAGTTTTTGTAATTGTTAGCATTTTGACAGACTATGTGCTATGATTGACTATATGTTCCTGTTGGATAGAAAACTAGTGCTAATGTTTTGACTGAATGACTCAATTTTAGTATATGTAGAAAAAGGGTTGGCTAATTGTGTGATGTAGTTGTGTTGCTGTGTTAAAGAGTTTAGAAAAAAATACTTTAAGTATTGGTAAACGCTTGCTAGCAATTGAAAAAACTGTAATGGCATTAACATATAAAAGCTCACCAGTCATTGTCCAAATGCTTTAATTTACAACAGCGAGCTGCAAGAACAGCTTACATTTCCAAAAATCTGCAGTACTCTGACAAGAAAAAATGTGTACGTCTGCTTGGACGCTAAGCACTTTTCCACGTCAAAGGCAGTTTTTACAAATATGAGCATTGGCGTGGATTTAAGCACATGCACACTAAAATCAAATCTGAGCGTACGCACGCTTTATAAATGAGGCCCCACGTTTAGTGCTTTAGTGCAACTAACATTAAACTTCCACTAATCCAGCCCATATCATTTGAGATTACATAGATCCTAGAATCAATCAAGATCAGATTCGGTTGACTGAGAGTGATTGACTTGCCTGATGGCACATTTAAACGGATTAGAGTCGACAGAAGAATATAAAGATTTGGTTACAGCCATCAATAACATGATGGGTTTTTTTCATATTTATACGATTTTACAGGCCCCCATCTCCAGTTTGAGGATGAGGTTACTGCTTTACAGACTCAAGTGGACAAACTCATCACTTTGGGTGTTAATAAGATCATCGCCCTTGGACATTCTGGGTTCAAAGTGGACCAAAATATCGCAAAGAAAGTTCGAGGATTGGATGTTGTGATTGGAGGGCACACCAATACATTCCTATACACAGGTATGTATCATTTAATTGCCTATGGGTTTATACAGTGGGTACGGAAAGTATTCAGACCCCCTTAAATTTTTCACTCTTTGTTATATTGCAGCCATTTGCTAAAATCATTTAAGTTAATTTTTTTTTCCTCATTCATGTACACACAGCACCCCATATTGACAGAAAAACACAGAATTGTTGACATTTTTGCAGATTTATTAAAAAAGAAAAACTTAAATATCACATGGTCCTAAGTATTCAGACCCTTTGCTCAGTATTTAGTAGAAGCACCCTTTTGATCTAATACAGCCATGAGTCTTTTTGGGAAAGATGCAACAAGTTTTTCACACCTGGATTTGGGGATCCTCTGAAATTTAAGGGGGTCTGAATACTTTCCGTACCCACTGTATGTATTATTATTGGTGTCAGTTTATACTTTTTGATTTATTCGAATTCATTACTATTTCAAAAAAATTATTTTCCTATCATTTACGTTTTTTTTTTCCTTCCGTGTAGCACAGAAGCGCCACACGCGCCACAGTCAAAACACCCTCAATTAAAACTGTAATTATAGGATATTGGTGAAACAAATTTGGTAAAGGCTACAGTGCGCATTTGCGTTTGTGTTCATTAAAACTTTCTATTTACAATGTGTTTTGTAGCATTGAGCAATGTGGCCAATCACAGTCATATCTGTTGATTTCTTGAACACCTGTGATTGGCCTTTGCGTTCAAGAGTTCCGAGTCAGAATTCACTCACCTCTAAACACCAGATTTTTTCTTTCAATTACCAATCGATGTGAATTTGCAACTACATTGTGCTGTTTTTGTTGTTGTCCAGTTAACTGTGGAGCTGCATAAAATAAGAAAATATAATTTCACAGAGGCTGGTACACTTCGTAATTTTCACTCAATGAAATTTAAAATAGTGTACCTCTATTCTACACCTTCTTTCACCAGGACCACAAATTAGGTTAATTTGTGAATCATTTTATTTGTTAAAGATGTGCAATGGACTGTCCGTTCCCAACACTTTTCAAAACAAAATGACACTCATAATAAGATCAAGAACTTTAATTTCCACTCTCTTAATAAGGGCTGTGGTCTCTTGGAACAGCTCCGCAGAAATACATTAAAGTGCTAAATGGTGTATGCACAGGTGCACAGGTGTGCTGATCCCATCACAAACAAAGTAACGCCCATACACCTCTAATACCACTCTCATTAAATTTGATTAATCTGTGTTTTAATAAAAGACATGGGCTTTGTGACCGTAATGGGTGTGATGGACTAAAGGTGAAACAGTATAATGCTTTATTTTGATCCAAACAGCTAACCAGTACAGCACTGACTGAAGTTTCTTTTGCTTCAGAAACTCTGGTCAGGCTGCCAAATACTACTCATTTGCATGTTACTCACCTCTGCTGCAGCCTTTGTGTTTTCTAGGCAAGCAGGAATAGACCACTAACCCCAAGAATTACACATGGGTTTTCGCTTCTGTCCTCTGGGCATAAATTATGCCATAAATTATGTGACTTGCTAGGAAGAGGTGTGTTCTTATTTTGTGTTATTAAGTGGCCAGATTTACCTGGCTGATACCTGGTGTGAGCCCATACTATTTGTTGCTGGACTCCTTGTCCATACAGAAACCTCTCTGGATTATTGCAGTATTAGTAAAAGGAATGTCTATCAACATCACACTAAAGCAAATGATATTAACTACTACAAAAAACTTTGCACAGTATTATTACTGTACTTAATTTAAGTATGTACTCTCTGTCCATTTATTTTGTGTGCTCATCTCTGTAGGAACTCCACCATCCACAGAAGTTCCTGCAGGACCATATCCATTCATGGTCCAGTCAGATGATGGGCGCCAGGTTCCTGTGGTCCAGGCCTATGCCTTTGGAAAGTATCTGGGATTCCTAAAAGTGACTTTTGATTCAAATGGAAATGTGGTGAAGTCTTCAGGCAATCCAATTCTTCTGGATAACTCAACAGCACCAGGTAAGAAAACTGGAAACATGGAAACAAATTAGAGAATTTAAAACAAGTCAGTAGAGCTTATAGGACAACAGGCTTCCGGAAGGAAAAATCCCATCTTCGCAGTAGGGAAATGTTTTTAAACAGTGTGTTCAGTGGTCAAATTCTGAGCCAAGTATTTTATCTTATCATGAAAAAGAAAACTGTAACAAGGTAGTTGCCCAAGCCGATGAAGCTTTGCCAAGGATGTAATTGAGTTGGTTCACAGTAATAAACAGGAAAATAACAGAATCACTTATGGAAACTCATCTCAGACAATTCAGATACTTAAAGACAACAGGGTCACTATTCAGCTCAGTTCAGTGTTGGATCAGTTCAGATAGGGCAGTTATTTATTCATCTGTATGAATTACCTGCTGGTTATTAATCCTTAAACAAGCTTTTATCTTGAATTGATACATGTTCTGCCCAGTGGTTTATTTAATCTTCCAATCTGGCTACCATTTGCATGTGCTCTCTCTACCTTACGGAAGCTGAAAACACCGGCAAACATGGAAAGTTGGAGTTTAGCAATCTCTAATGAGCAATTCTGCTCAAATAAAAGTGTAATACAGCCTGCAACTAAATCTGCGAGCAAATTCGCTTATTTTCCTGGATTTTTTTCCCAGATTTGCTTCAAGCTTGCAATGTTGCGATCTTGGACTGGTTTGGTTCAAGTCGTAGAAAGAACTCTTGATTTAAGAATTTTTCAAAATCCTTACAGAGAAAATGAACAGGAATAATGTGACCCTGGAGCACAAAACCAGTCATAAGGGTCAATTTTTCGAAATTGAGATTTATACATCATCTGAAAGCTGAATAAATAAGCTTTCCATTGATGTATGGTTTGTTAGGACAATATTTCGCCGAGATACAACTATTTGAAAATCTGGAATCTGAGGGTGCAAAAAAATCTAAATATTGAGAAAATCTCCTTTAAAGTTGTCCAAATTAAGTTCTTAGCAATGCATATTACTAATCAAAAATTAAGTTTTGGTATATTTACAGTAGGAAATTTACAAAATATCTTCATGGAACATGATCTTTACTTAATATCCTAATGATTTTTGGCATAAAAGAAAAATCGATAATTTTGACCCATACGATGTATTTTTGGCTATTGCTACAAATATACCCCAGCGACTTAAGACTGCTTTTGTACTCCAAGGTCACAAATAATTCATGAAATCAGGACCACTGAAAACGTGGGCACTCAATGGACATTAGTATACTAATATAACCTATTAGGGTGCCCAGTCATGCTCCTGAAGGGCCACTGTCCTACAGAGTTTATCTCCAACCCTAAATAAACACTCCTGAACCAGCTAATCGAGGTTTTCAAGAGCACTAGAAACTTCCAGGATGGTGTGTTGGAGCAGGATTGGACACCCCTGTACTACACCGTATTTATCAGATGTGATGCATTTCTATTGTGGGTTGCCCTATTGATATGCCAGTTTCAACCTGTGATATGATTTTGTCAAGATCCAGTCATTCAGGCTGAAGTGGACGCTTGGAGGAAGAATCTGGCCAATTACTCTGCTCAGCATGTGGGACAGACTCTAGTCTATCTCAATGGAACATTTGAGGAATGTCGATTCCGTGAATGTAATTTGGGAAATTTGATCTGTGATGCCATGGTGAGTGAATAAGTCTGTGACTTTAAAGATACATTTGCGGTTACATTTTTTTTGATAGCATTATTTTGCATATTGTTTTTCATGGGCACGAGGACTACTCTAGATGGAACAAACATCTCACTCTGTAGAGCATGATGTTGTGTACAAAATCGCTTAACTTTAACACCTACAAAAGCATTGAGTGACAATGCAGATGTTAATCTTAGGCCCTGTTTACACCTGGTATTATCATTAGTGTAGTGTGATCTGAGAGAAATCTAGGTGTAAACTGCATCCAGAATGGTTGTAGGACCATCCACTGATCTCAACAATCAACCATTGCTGGTTGCATGCAGCTTTAAACTAAAATAAGCATTACATCAGAACAAATTGGAACGCCAAACATGCCAAAACTTCATAGTTCTTCAGCGTGCTTGAGAACAACATGCAGAGACACATATTGTGTGATTGTTTTTGAATATGTGTCTGCTTACATCTTGTATTAACATCTGTCATGTCTTGACTTGGATCACTGGAGAAAGATGCTGATACCAGGCGCAAACAAACACACATTCAGAAACAATCTTTGTACCTGAAAAAGTTCAATCAAGCACTTATCGCTCAGCCAAAATCAAAACGCAAAACCTCAAACCCAATAGGAACTAACAGCAGTCTCAGAAGCAAATCCAATCTTGAAAGTAATAAAATGATCCAAGCAGCAAACATTTCAACCAATGGCAAAGTGAAAATAAAAATGTACTGTCAACTCTAAACAGACCTGCTATATAATTTGGTAGATTTGCTGAAAATCGTGCTCTTAAGGACACCTTTCCTGCTTGTATTTTAGGTCCATAATAATATTAAATACGCTGATGAAATCCAGTGGAACCATGTCAGCTCTTGTATTCTGAACGGTGGAGCCATTCGATCACCTATTGATGAGCGAAACAGTAATGGTATGAGACACTGATTCACAATCACTTATGCTTCCTAACGGGACAGATCGATATCCATTAAGTTTAATTGACTTGGTTGTGATGATTAAGGATTTCACGAGCAGTAAATATAATACTGAAACACACCTAATGCATGTTTCGATTGAAGGCTCCATCACAATGGAGGATCTGATCGCTGCGTTGCCATTTGGAGGTACATTTGACCTGGTCCAAATGAATGGATCGACTCTGCGAGAGGTCTTTGAGCACTCCGTTCGCAGATACGGAGGAAGCACTGGTGAATTCCTACAGGTGTCAGGTACGTTTACTTTGGGGAAATTCTTGTAAGCTGTTTATAAGTATACTCTATGTGAACTAGAGCTCCCCCTCAATTTGAGTACTGGAATAGCATGGACAAATGTTGCTAAGCTCTCAAAATGAACAAAGCATCATAAAACTAGTCCGTTTGACTTGAGTGTTAATTCAGATATTCATTTGATGTTTATAATTACCTTGCAGGGTTTCAGCTGGTGTATGATTTATCAAAATCGCCTGGAAACCGTGTTAAAAGCGTGAATGTGCTCTGCACTGAGTGTCGAGTGCCCCGTTATGAACCGCTCAACCCAAAGAAGGTGTATAAAGTGGTGCTGCCCTCTTACCTAGTGGACGGAGGAGATGGATACTCTATGATCAAACAACAGAAACTCAAGCATGACAGCGGTAAGTCACTATATATGCACATTTCATCATACACTTAGCATTACAATATACTGTGCACCATATTCCATAGGAGACCTGGATATAGCAGTTGTTGCCAGCTACATCTCGGAGAGAAAGAGAGTTCATCCAGCTGTGGAAGGACGGATTCAGTTCACAAGCTCTTGTATTGGACATCGAGGATATATGTCCACTATTCTGCTGGTGTGGGTACTCTGGGTCACGTTTGTTTAGTCGTTTATTATGTAGCCATTTGTGTGTCATTGTACAGTCAGAGAGAACAAAAGACACCTTTAATCCAAAGATTAGTTACTGTCATAGAAGCAAACAGATTAACTGGCAACACTGTGATGTAGTAAGGATCAAAGAAAGTCACAAGTTCTTATTCTATAGGGATCTTTTGATCACCTCTTTAAAACTCATAGAGGGTATACTTATGCTGAATCTCACAAAGAGATGACCAGATCATATTTCACTCCAAAATCGTTTGTGCTTAAAAAGCCTATTTTTAGGCCCATTAAGGATATTTTGGTCATATTTCATGATAATTCAGCTAATCCTAACCTCAAATTCTCATGACTGCAATGTGAAAATTAAAAAAAAGTAGAATTTACATTATGCATTATGGTAGTATGATTTAATTCATGTTGACTTTTATTGTTTTGTATTGAAGTAATAATTTGGTCCTCAAACAGACATTTTCTTTATTCAAAATGATTATTTTCTTCTCAATTATGACCTGTACATCTTTTCATGAGATTCTTATAAAAAAGGGTAAAGTTATTTATCTGTAATTTGTTTCTTGATGATGATTATGGTTAATTAAACGGCACAGCTTGTGATGATTATAGATAGCAGTTTGTCTGGCAAGACATCTCCATCCTCTTTTTTTCTAAGGTAGCTATTCATATTTTTACAAAGCATTTATTTTAAATAGATTAAGATTTATTGTAAAACACATAACCAGGGACAAAGCTGCTGGATATATTAAGATTTTATTTACTGAGCACAAAGCCAGAAGTGCATTTACAAAACATTTTTTTCAGTACTTTTATTTTGCACATGGCTGTGACACTATATGAAATGTCTCAGTTCTGTCATTTTTTTTTATTTTTTTTACTTGTCTGTATCTTGTGTCTTTTTGAGTGTCTTCAGGGACCATCAAGAGTGTAAAATGTTTATTTACATCTGATCTGAAGAATGTTATCATGCTGATAATGACATTATGTGTCTTGAATCACAATCTACTTGATCCAAACCTTTTGTTATTATCATGCTTTTACTACTCGACTGTAAAAATAAGGCAGGTTTCCAATGAATAGCCATGGCATACAAACCCCATTAAAGTCAATAAATAATTGTATTTTAGTAGTGCAATAAACGCTTTATAATGTTGATGTTAGGTCCGATAATGTTTTACATCCATCTAGTGGAGACGGAGAGACCTGCCTTCTGATTCTACAAAAGACAAAACAGCAGAAGCTCCATTAATAACATGATGAGCTGCTCTGTGTCACAGTGTGAGTGGTGCAGGAGAGCGTTACCTCACTGAGCTCTGGGAACAGCTCCTGGACAGCGATGTCAAGCAACACGTACGTCATCTATGAGCAAATGAGAGATCCGTGAAAAAGATCAATGAAAGAGAAAAGGCAACTTAGCAGAGAGTGAGAGCGTTTGAGGACCTGTTTGTTGAGCAGTGGCTGCTGAATGGCGTTGAAAAGCATCTTGACGCCCTCATACTTTGCTTCCTCACCGATACATTTCCCAAGCAGATCTGAGAAACACCACACATCAATTAGGGATGTTCATCTAAAATTTTGGTCAACGTGATAAGACTACATGATATGCTGATTAGTCGCCCAACAATATTTGAAGGCAACACTTTAGTAAAGGGACCAATTCTCCCTATTAACTAGCTGCTTCTTAGCATGCCTATTATTAACATATTGGCTGTTTATTAGTAATTATAAATCACATATACTGACTATTAATAAGCAGCAAATTAGGAGTTAAAAGTCGTAGTTAATGGTTTGTTAATAGTGAGAGTGTTACAAGCTGTTTGTGAATAGATAAGATCCCTAAAGTTGCAAAGACTAAAGTCTCACGCAAAGAAAGAAGGCGTGACTTTATTGTTGCTGCCACCGTCGCCGCCATGTTGTGAAGACGCTGTGTGTTTCGTTGTGAAAGCGAAACTACTTTGTTTGGTCTTCCAAAAGAGGACACGACTAGAAATCAGTGGTTAAGTTGTATTTACAACACTGTTCCAGAACAGTTCAACCTAAATATTCAGATGTGTGCAGCGCATTTTATGGAGGACTGTTTCCTGAACCTGGAAGAGTAGACTGCAATGCCGGCTGTTCTGACTACGTTTTTATATTTAAAGAATTTGCCACTGACGATTCAAACACGAGTTTTGAGCAGTGTAGAGTAGCGCTTGTTGTTTGTCAAAAGTGTGACCAAGTGTTTTCTCCTTCCTTTTAAATGCTAACTGTACGCCATTATATGGTTAGGTATATATTATTATTTGTATTTATTACTGGTTTAAATGAACCTTCAAAATGACAACACGTAACCATAAACAGATCTTAAAAATGTGCTCAAGAGGTCTGGCTTTAAACGGGGCTGATAGCTGCAGCTGTTATGAGGTACCTGGCAGGTAGTTCATCATCTCCTCAAAGGTCTGCTTGGCTCGTCTCTGTTTGTCCTCAGGAGAGCGTTCCTCTGTGCTCTCACAGAAAACCGCATCTGCAGAGGTGCAGAATCTGATCAGCTGAAGAAGACAAATCTACCCATACAATAAACCAAAATAACGATGTAAAACCCTTATCATACACTAGAGCTGTGTGGGTTAAGCACGATCTGCTGTGACTTCACAAATGTAATTGCATTTTGGGATAGAGAGCTGCCTGAAACATCCCTTCTATTAGGTTGCAGATCAATTGGATCCATTTTGAGTATTGGAAGTTCTCGAGTTGAGTAGTCAGAGAGTGTATGTTTAAGTGAAGTGGAAGGAAGTGCTTGAAATAAGGCAGATAAGGTACTAATGGCATGCATCCAAGAACAAACTACAACCCCAGTTCCAGAAAAGCTGGGACATTTTTCCACAGCACACATTTCCACTGTCTTTTTGACTATCTGAGATGAGCTCTGTCCCAGAGAACCCGGCAGCATCGCTGCAGAGTTGACGTATAGCTTTCTCCTGGAGTAACAGAGATTCAAGTTGCATTTCTTGATGCAGCAGCAGACTGTGGTAAATGACAGTGGCTTTCTGAAGTACTCCTGAGCACATGTGGCTATATTTAACACCACAGCATGACGGTTTCTTATGCAATGCCATCTGAGGGCTCAAAGGTCAAGCACCTTCACCTGAGCTTTCCTGCTTTGCCCTACACATACTGAGATTTCTCTGTATTCTCTGTATCTTTTCACAATATTATGTATGGTAGTTGGTGAAAGACCTAAATTCTTTGTGATTTTGCATTGAGAAATGCGATTTGTTTCACACTTCTCTCATGAAATTTGGCAGAAAGTGATGAGCCATGATCCAGCTTTGCTTGCAAAGACTTCAGATACTCTTTTTATACCCAAACATGATACCTTGACCTATTACCAGTTCACATGCTTACTGTGCTACAAAACAGTTTAACTTGGATATTCTATAGCCTTTTTCACTTTTATTTTGCCCCTGTCCCAACTTTTTTGGAGTGTGTTGCAGCCGTCAGAATTTGTTCATATTTACAAAATACATTTAAGTTGGTCAGCGAAAACTTTGGAAATCTTTTGTCAATTAAATAGAAGTCAAAGAGAATTGTATTGTATTTTACAAAACGTCCAAACTTTTCTGGAATTGGAGTTGTAACCGCTATTCTGTCTGTCTGTCTATGTAGAAGTTGTTTATGATGCATTTAGGCAATATTTGAGTTTTTAGAGTGTATAATGGCTATTAGGTATTGAAGAACTTGAAGATATGATTTTATAAAGTTGGAGCACACAAACCTCGCAACAGAGTGATGAGAGAGACGAGGCGATGCTCCTGCATGATCTGCTCTAGTTTGACCTGGAAATAATGGCCTACATACGCCTCTAGTGTCCTCTTCAAGAGAATACGAGCTCCGCTCAGAAAGTGATGCAGCCAGTCAGGCATGTGAAACACCACCCGACCTGAGTCAAAAAAACAAACCAGTCATGTGACTTCAGGAGAAAAGTGCACGAGTCGTATGGACACACTTGCGTGGGCCAATCATGAGCTGTTACTTTTGTGTTCTTTGGAAAAAAAATAAGATCAAACAGACTAGTACATTTTCATGTTTTATGAACTTTTCCTTTAATAAGACTTTGAAAAGATACTTGATGTGTTTGCTCTGATTTTAGTAATCATACTTCATATTAAAAAAAAAAAAAAAACTTTTTTAAAGTGTTACGATGAAAAAAAAGTTTAGTTACATTCACTTACCTATGTACATCATGTAGTCATATACTCCATCAACCTCCATCAGCTCCATGAAGTAGTTCTGGTTGTGTTTTCTCTCCAGGCCCTCTGGCAGATTGGCATTGTTTCTGTACAGCTCGTTGAACAGCTAAAATGGCATGAGTGGAAAAGTTATTTCCAGTATTGAAGATAACACAGACAACATGACAGTCAATTCAAGATTTCTTTCTTTCTTTCTTTTTGAATGATGGATTTCCAAAACGATCATTTGAGTACGGTTTGTACTGATACATCTTTCAATCACCTACAAGGTTTAGCCCAAAAATATATTTGACCTGCACCTTCAAAGATTTCAAAACGTCTATATTTCACAATTTAATAAATTCAATCAAAATTTGAAGAAAGAAAAATCATCATCTTTTCAGTAATAAGGCTAATATAAATATTATCAATGCTGAGAAAATGTCCCTGCCCTTGCTGTAAATGAGCAAATTTTAAGCTTAAGTGATCTTCAATTGAAAGTGCAGATAATTATGAAAAATTGTGTTTTGAGCAGATGTGTTCAGACTTTTTTTTGTAAGATATACATGTGCTACAATGGTTTTAAATGTACTTTTGTAGAGACTGGCAACCAGAACATATTTGTTGTCCATATCAAATTCTCAAATGTAAAGGATTCTAATACATTACAAGATACAAAACAAAACACAAGAACTATTCTAAAGGCTTGTTCACACCGGGACGAATATCGCGTGCGATTATCGCCGACGTTTAACGCCTCGTGACTAAACAAAGGGCAAAACGCAGGGCGTAAAAGCGTCATTTTTAAAAAAACGCCTCGGGCTTGTTTTTTTGGTTTGACGCGCCGCGTCAAAAACTGGCCGACCAATGAGATTGCCACTTTTGTTCACGTGCCTGGAGCTGCTGAAGTTACAGTAAAACACGACTTGGTGGCACTCAAGCACAAAACGGTCTTGCCGAGCACACTTCATACCTAACGACGAAGAGGAAGTAAGTAGACCAAGAAGATGCATCGAGGCAAGATGAATGTAGAGCTGCTGGTCTCATTGGTGTCTGAACACAAAGGGCTTTACGACAAATGCGACAGCGACTACAAAAATCTCGATAAGAGGGAGTTGTTATGGAGAGGAATTGCAGATCAAATAGGATTCGATGTGTACCGGGGTATTCCTGTTTTTCAGTAAGAGCCATCTAATGTCAGGGAGTGAATTTGCACGTTCACTCGGCTCATCGCCTGCGAAAATCGCTTGGGTATGAACACAAAAAGACGCGTCGAAAAACGTCGGCGATAAGCGCGCGCGATAATCGTCCCGGTGTGTACGAGGCTTAAGAGCATATTTTTCTGAAAGAAAGAAAAAAGCCTTTATTAAAATAAAAGTGCTTTGAGTAGTGAACACACCTTTTTATTATTTTCTGCAGTGGGGCTGAGGATGGTGAGCTCAGGTCTGCTGGGTTTGGGTTTGGGGGATTCACAGGAACTGAAGAACGACTGGATAAACGGCTCCAGGTTTTGCCCTTTCTGGAGAAAATCGGCAAGAATAAACATCAAGTCATATTAAAATCATTCTATGCTTTTCAAATTTTGTGAGAAATTTAAAAAGTAAAAAAAACAACTTGTATTTGTCCTTTATCAGAACACAGATGTGTCCGATATTTTATCCTTTTATTTATATTACACCTGATGCAAAACAACTATAGTTATTTCATCCCATAAGATACATAAAATCTAAAGAAATCAAGGCTGGGATAACTGCCATTTACTGTCAACTTTCGAGTTTTTTTCGACTTTTATTGACCTTAACTGGCATTACATTATTGAGCTAACTATTGGGAAGATTTTAGCTATGGGGTGGATCAAGTCAAATTTTGGTAATAGATTTTTTTTTTTTTGTCTTTGTGTTTTAAACCTCTCCGTGTGGGGCCTGAA